AAGAGCTATCCAAATTAAGCAACCAATTTACAACATAAACATGCTTAATAAGAAGTAAAATTGTAGAAGATTAATGGTATAATCAAACACATAATCCAACAATTACATGCCATAATTAATCAAGGTTTAAAGATTTAAAAATTTTTGTTCCTAATGAAAAACCCCTAAAAAAACCACTTTCTGGGCAGATTTTGGCCTTTGGAAGACATTTTTTAAACACTTTGTAAGTAAAGGTTGATTTAGAACATCGATTTCACCCAAAATTCACTATTTTTTGAGTCGAAATTTGAGTTCGTAGTCATAAATTAGCAATAATATGATTTTAATCCAGAATTTTAAATCCATTTAAATCACCTTAATTAATTTTTAGTTGTAAAAATTAAATGCAAGAGGCTCTTATAACGCTGTTAGGTTTTGCGGTGTCCGACATCGCGGGTAAACAAAACCCGATAAATCGGATTGCATGCATAATAATTACAACATAACAAATTAGCATGCAAATAAAGAAAACACAAACACATAAAGTGAAGAGGGAGAAAGAAGCTCACCCTTGACACGTGCTTCGCTCGTAACTCGAGCTCGGGCTTGGAAAACTTCAAGCCCCGCAAATGCAAGACCTCCAACATCTCACACCCTCGATTACTGAACCGGCCCCTACCCCGTAGCTTAGACAGGGTTAGGCCAAAATTACTAGAGTTTTACGAATTTAAGGCTTTCTCACACTTTTGGAGATTCTTTTTGAGTTCTACTCAAGTGAGTATTCCCAATACCCAAGGTGGGTATTTATAGGGAATTGCTCCCAAGAGATTCCAATACCACAAATCCTCACCTTGGAGAGCAAGCAAGCCCCAACAACCCCAAGTGCGATGCCCTTAGCCTTAGGCCTCAAGGCATGCCTCGCTGGCAGCCTTGGCCTTGGCCTTCGGCTGGGCCTGCCTCGCAATCCCAGCTCGCTGCTGGTGCTTGCGCCATTCCGAGCTAGCCATGCTGGCTGACAGCACACGAAAGTGTGCTAGGCTAGCAGCCTTGCCGCACACAACGACATGCTGACCTGGCACACTTGTTGTGTACTTGCGGGCTGGCGCTACTAGCTAGCCTGCTCGCCCAGCCAGCACACATGTGTGGCTGTTGGGCTTGCGACCAAGGCAAGCACATGGCTAGCCTAGCGCGCCTAGCCCTCGCTTGGCTAGGCCAATGCGAGGCTAGGTCTTTACGTGTTGACTTGTCATTTGACTTATTTTTCTCGTATTCTCGATTCGTTGAATCGACTCAACGTTCGACGCTCGGCTTCGACGCTCTATGCTCGGAATCCGATGTCTTAGTTTGTAAAATCTCTATCGACTTATTTAATCCTTCGTATTAATTCGTCGCCTTGGTTCGGTTACACGATTGGACGTGACCCTAAGGGTTCAGTCAAGAGTAAGCTGTAATATTAATTAATATTACTGATCGGAAGCGGCCTCCAGCTAGGCATTCCGATCACTTGACCTCACTGAATAATTAGCTTCCCTAATTAGTTCCGAACCCTCTATCGGAATAATACACTTGTTCGAAGGACACCATTCCTTTCAGCCAGATCACGAGACAGCAACACTTGGCGTTTTAACTTTTCACCAAATGTCGCGTCACGTAGACAACAATTTAATAGTTTATCATATAAATTTGTTATATCATAATTTTTTTGGGAGCAAAGGAACTAGTTCAAAAAGTACAACTTTCATTTATAATATATCCTAATCGATTTTTAAAAAATACTTCACAATCTAATATGATATTATTACTTTATGTAGAACTATCAATCGAGTCAGGTCATTGGTCATTTCGGGTAGAGTAACTTTAAGTCACGGGTCAAAAAATGTTCACAGTAGCCCAAAGTTTCGGTTTCGAGGTCAACCCAACGGGCTTAGAACAATTTTTTGATTTACTTTATTTTTGGCTAATTTTTAGAAATTTATAATATTTCAAACTTACTTTGCTATTTTTTTTATAATTTTTTAAATCAAGCATTTTCACCAATATTTTTATTAGCCATTATATGCCTACTGCATAATTTAAATCGTCACAAAATCACATCAATTCCTAACTAATTTTGCATCAATGATATATTTTAAAACTTGGTATATAGATAAAAAGTTTATCTTAAAATCCATTAAACAACCCGAGCATCGCACGGGACACCAAAATAGTATATATATAAAGGGGAGTTTTTTCCCGAGATTTTAGAGTGCCACGTAGGTTTTTTTATTTTTATAAAATTATTAGAGCGCCACGTGGGATTAATATTTTTAGAACGCTACAATAGAATTATGCCACGTAAGCTAAGTTTTTTTAAAAGCTACGTAGGATATAATAAAAAATAAAAAATTATCAAAGCGACACATGAAAATGTTATATTTTATCCAATGAAAAAAAGAATTGCAATTTATTTTAGATATAAATTTTATATTAATTATAAAAATAAAATCAGCGCATTTTCAGTGTTGCTGGCTATATCGTGTGGCCGGCTGAGACACACCAATACTCTTAACGGGTAACTCCTAATAGTCCTAGTAACCTTTGATCGATCGAGTAACCCTTGACCAATCGAGTAACCCCTGACCAAGTAATCCCGACCATACGATGTGGCCAGCCACATATGAAACTTTATGAAATAAAATATTATCTTTTTAGATAAGGAATTTTATCTAAATATGGGAAACAAAATTAATTATTTATTTTATAATAAAAAATTCAAGTAGTAAGCAAGCGAATAAAATTACAAAGTTTATCAGATAAATATATATTTAATAAAATATTTTATTTGATAAATACAAATAAATCGTGTATTATACGGACTTCATCTAATGTAATACAAACGCGAGTTTTAGTATTAATAGTGTAGTTTGAACTAATAAAATCTGTTAAGTAATTGCCCGATAACTATCCATGACTCTTCAAACTACACCCCCACTATCTACAATCTCGACAGTATCGCCACCTGCATGGCCCATTAGTAAATGAATCGAAATTGGCTGTTAACTTTAGAGATTGAGTATGATCAAATGTGATTAGTTTGTTTTCAACTTTTCATTGTGTTTGGCCAAGGAGCGAGAAGAAAGTACTAAATGTGGCTCCGTTGAGTCGTTGACACATACACAAAGCTACTTAAATTCTTAAGCGAAAAGAATTTTGTGTTCATTTTATTTTATTTTACAATGTTAATTATTTTTGTTAACGGACTAACTTAATCAAAAGCTTAACCTGATAGTTGAGGTCAAGGAATATATTTTATAATCTATCACGTCCCTTCACATGAGAGCCTTTTGGACTTGAAATGAAGATGCAGCATGAGCCCTCCGCATACCCTGCGCGAAATATTCCGATTTGAAATACTAAGAATTTTGTGGTTTTTTTTGGAGCTTGATACACACAGCTAAATTCTTAAAAATCAAACAAAGTTTCACATTAAAACTATAATTGAGATACTTTAATTTCAAGAAAAAAATTTCACTATCTTGAGGTATCATGCACAAGCGTGCAGTGTCACAATTAATACTAGTTTGGTGTTTAGAGAGCGACAAAGGGCAAAATTAATACTAGTAAAATAATAAGGTAAAAAGAGTCCCACATTGACCACGGAGCTAAATAAAAGACAATATTTTAATAACCGCGTACAATGTAAAGGGTACGACCACACTTGTGTAGGATAGTTCTATAAATCGTACCTCTGTATCCTTTCTCACTAAGGAGACAAAAAACCAAGTCTGGGTGATGATTTACGGCCGTTATGATCTGAGCGTGACTATCAGCTAATCATTGATCTCACCGATGACAAGCAATTGAAGATCGTTCCTTCTGCCCCCGTGGCCGATTGTGGAGTCATACGGTGTTCTGACAGACTTCCCTCTTTTTTATCTTCACTCCGACATCAATTCAAAACTCTGTTTTTACTTGTTAGTACTGTAGTATATTTTGTTTCTAAGTAATTAGTTATGATAATGAAACTTTAGCTAACAGTACCAAGTAGTTTTCATCAAGAGAGCTTTCTTTTGCTTTGTACTACTCTTTTGTTCTAAAATGAATAGTACGAATTAATATTAATAGTTTTGTTTGTAGACATTGAACTAATAGATTTGCTTAACTATTCCATCTGCCCTCTTTGGTTTGACCTATAATGGTTTAGATACTTTTAATTTCTTAATATTTGGTTGAGTTGACCTATAGTGGTGGACCTTTTATGGTTTTTTGCGTCCTTGTAATGCCTCGAGTTATGATTAGATTTTGGGATAAATTTCACTTAAATAAATGTTAAATTGTAAGATCAATGATATTAAAATAAAAACAAAGATCATAACTCATAATATCATAAGATATCAGCTTATCATTGATCTTATGATCAATGATGTTAAATTGTATTCTACAAGAGGCATAATTCTTTTTGAATATGTTTGATGTATGATATTATTGATTTATATGTAGGAAAATAAAAACAAAAGGGGTATTTTATAATTCTTTTTTTTTAATATGTTTTGATTATGATATTATTGATGATTTATATTGTTAAACGGGGCTAGGCTGTACTCGCCACGAATTTTATAAATCTAAGAAGGTTTCAATGTCCTAAGAGAATAAATTTTCTCTTTTTTTAAATGTGGGATACATATCTCAATACTCACTTTACCTTCACTTGATTAATATGGAACAATACTTCCACTCACACGTGAGTTTGCTCATTAACTCAACAAATATGCACTGAGGTGAGCCAATAATTGCCTTTTTTTTAAGGAAATATACCACGTTACCAGTATACCACTCCCTCGGTTTAAAAAGAATAATAGTCAACAAGTAATGTTAATAGTGTTAAGTAACAACTGATAGATTGATTGCTTTTTATGAATATTCAATTACACCCCCAACTACTGCTCTTGCAAATCTTTTTAAGTGGAGTGTTCTGATTGGAGTATTATACTATTATTGTTGTACAAAGTTGACTATATTTTAATTTCTAAGTCTTCGCTTGTTAATTAAAAGCTAAATCCAAGACTGAACATACATTATATAAAGTTTTAGTTCTTATTAGATGTTTTACATTGAGAAAGAGAGGAAGACCGGGCAAAAGAGACACGAAATCAATGGCGGAAAAGAGCTCAGTGAAGCTACATGGAATGTGGGCAAGTCCTTATGTTATGAGAGTCCAACTTGCCCTTAAATTTAAGGGAGTAAACTACGAGTACATAGAAGAAGATCTACAAAATAAGAGTGAGTTGCTGTTGCAATATAACCCTGTGCACAAGAAAGTGCCTGTTCTTGTGCACAATGGTCTACCCATTGCAGAGTCAACGATCATCCTCGAGTATATTGATGAGACTTGGACCGATCCCCCGCATCTCCTGCCTAAGGATCCTTACCTTAGGGCCAAACATCGATTTTGGGCCGCGTATTTACAACAGGTTAACTCATCGATCACTACTCTTTGATCTTTACCTCAACTTGTTTTCTTAGCTTGTATCAATGAAAACAATTTGTAACTCTCTAGTTTATAAAAAGATATCAAGGAACATATATCAAACTTATAAAATTATATGTTCAATTTCATTAACAATGTGTTTGGATTGAAGAAAATGAAGGAAAGGGAAGGGAAGGGAAATGGAGAGATGAGATATCTTTCATTTGGATAACAAATGAGGAAGGAAGAGAATTGGAGGGGAGAGAAATGGAGGGATTAAATTGTAGGAAAGTAATCCCTCTAAGAATGGAGAGATTTGGAAGGAAAACTCACCATTCTTCACTCCCCTCCCTTTCTCTCCTCTCCTCTTCTCCTCCCTCCCCTTCTTTTCCCTCCCCTTTATTTATCCAAACATACGGTAATAGTTAAGGTTTGGGTTGAATTTGTTGATGAATGAGAATTGGATCACTTGTAAGTCTAGGAGGTTCATTCAATCCTAAAACTAATTGTTGATAGGAGTAATTCACCAAGCAAATTGATTTTTCTCAATCGTTCCTATTCTTCAATATGTTGAGTCAATGCATATTCTGTTAATAAATTCATGTCATATCCTTAATTACGAGACAGCTGATATGATTTAGATAAAGGGAGTACTATGATATGGTATGTGCAGGTGGCAGAGGAACTGGGCAAAGTGCTGCAAAAAGAAGGCAAACCATCAGAAGACATGACGAACGAGTACCGGAACAAGATGGACATGGCTGAAGAATTAATCAAGGCTGAGTTATTCCCTAATGGCTGTCCATCTTTCGAGGATGCGAAACCCGGATACTTGGACATAGTGTTGTACTCCCTATTAGGAAGCTTTGATTATATTGCGGAAGAGCTCTTTGGGTTTAGTCCTTTCACTGAAGAAAGGTACCCATTTTTGGCATCTTGGATAAAGGCACTCAAAGAGCTTCCTGATGTTAAAGAAGTAACGCCTCCAAAGGCTAAGGTCATTGAGCTTCTTCACGCCAGGCGCCAGAGTAACCTCCAAACAAAGGCGTAATTGAACTATTGTGATTTAAGCTTAAGGAATTAAGTAAATGAGCAATGAGCTTGTACAATACGGAGTAAGTCATGTCCTTAATTTTAGTATTGTAATCGATAACTGAATGTTTGTAATAAAGTTTTTCTAGCTAGACTCTTGATTAATTAAAAAAGTTAAAAGTGTTGAAACATACTTCGTAGTAGGGTAGGAGACGCATGACTTAATAATGAAGTTTCAAGTAAGTTGGATGTCCAATTACTTAATTATATGTGAACTCAACTTACTCTAGATATTAAAAATATTGTAAGGTTCATTTTCTAAGGATGGAGAGACTTTTTATGTTTTAACTAGTCTTCTGTCCCGTGTAATGCACAAGTTGTTTATAGGTATACAATATAAATTTTATTCTCCTTAAAATATATATATATATATATATATATATAAATTTTATTTTATAATATGTTTTTATTGGAAAATAAATAGTTTATAAAGGAGAAGATCAAGGGGTGAAAATTGAATGTACTTGAAGAAGATACTTTGTATTAAGTTGGGGAAAAAATAAACTAAACAACATTCATACATGTATTAAATTAAGGCTAGGTTTTTTTTTTAATTTTATTTTTTAATTTTATTTTTAATATTAGAAAGGGGATTTAAAAAAAGGTTAAATGAGGTGACATGTGACATTGTTGAAAAAAACAAATTTATATGTGACATGATGATTTAATTTGTGTTTTTAAATACTAAGTATAGATAGATTCATAGCTAATTATAGAGGAAAATTTTAAAAGGAGGGACCATTCATGTTACCACGTTCACTTTTAGGAGGGGAGATTGAAAAATATTTCTTTTGTTTTTTTAGATGAAACACTTTTAAATTTATACTTTTACTATATACAATATTTTTTCTTCAAATTTTTTTTGCAAAGATAATTTACAGTCATTTGAGGTCTTATTAGATTCAACTTGACCTATGTTAAAACCAAACCTATTGTAAACCCACTTTTGAGTATCCATCCCACGTTGGAAAAAAAGAAGAAATAATTCCACTTTATAAGGTAGAGGATTACTTTTACTATCATCAATTGATTTTAGTATTGAATCTCCTTAACATTGTTTGTGGACCAAACTCAATATATGCTTTTTTTAAAGGTTCATGTTTAATGATTTTTATCGAATTTAGTTCATGTATAATGATTTTTGTCGAATTTAGTTTTTAAGTTTATTTTTTGAATGTGTACTAAACAATATGCACCGAGGTGAACCAATCTAATATTTTTATATATAAAGGGGAGTTTTTTCCCAAGATTTTAGAGAACCACATAGAATTTTAATTTTTTAAAAATTATTAGAGCGCCATGTAGGATTAGTATTTTTAGAGCGTTACGTGTAGGGTTATGCACATAGGATTATTATTTTAAAGAGCCACGTAAGATTAAAATTAAATGTTTAAATTTATTATGAATTGAAAATTTTATCTAAGAGAAAAGAAACAATTTATTTTATTTCGTATATAAAAAAAAATACTATTAAACTTAAAAAAATGAAATTTACATTTAATTGATATTGAAAAAAATTGGGTTTTATAAAAAAATAATGAAAATATGACAAGTGATTATTAAAAAATATTTTGTAAAAAATACTAATAAAAAAATGAAATCACGTTCAATTAAAAAAAATATCAATTTTCTCTAAAAAAAAAAGTATTAGTTTTTGATTAGATATAAAAAATAAGGAAAAAATCATTTAAATTAAAAATATATTCTTTTTCTTTTTCTAATAAAAAAATTTGTTCATCATTTATCAATTATTCATCTAAAACATTAAGATATACGTTAACAAAATTTATCATATCTAACAGTAAAATTTATCACCATTTTAAATCTAGTATTTTTTAAATCCTATATAAACTCATCTAATGTCTCACGCGATGAACGATGATCATAATTAAGAAGTCAGTTCAGTCATATCAAGGATGTTAATTTTGCAAGAGAGCGGGTTTTATTATGCAACTTATCAACTGACACGATCAACGATTGATTTACAAAAAATGATGAAAGCCTGCAAGATTATATTTTTACCGTGTTTACAATTTGAAAAAAGTTGGTTAAACAAATACATATAGTTTCACATATTTTATTTTCTTTCAATTTTTTTAAGAATTGGTTTGCATTGTTGTTTAAATAAACAATTTACAAGATATACCACGTTTAAATATGCGTTAACCTTAATTGTATAAGATTAAAAAAATAGTAATATTATGTATTAATATTTTGTTATTACAATTGAATATTAAATGTTAAATTTAACTACTAAGAAACCCGTGCATCGCATGGGCTTAAATCTAGTAATTGTCTATTTTTACTGGAAATATACAGTTTTAAAAAAATTGTAGTAATTAATATTAATAGTGTAATTTAATTAATACTCCGTAGATTGATTGCTTTCCAGTTTCCATGAATATTCATATGACACCACTAGACCTGTTCAATGGGTTAGGGGCCCATTTAAAGCCTTGACCCAACCCTTTTATAAAAGGGTTTTATCCATCCAATATTTAAATGGGGCATGCTTTTAAAGGGTTATTGAATAATGGGCTTTTAAAGGGTTGGGTCTAAGTTAAAAAGGGCTGAAATTGGGCAACTCTTATGAGGCTTGCAATATTGGCACGAGATCTTCTAACGATTCCGGTTAGTACGGTGGCTTCTGAGTCGGCTTTAGTGTAGGGGGGAAAACTATATCTCCTAATCGTTGCTCATTGAAACCCTCAACGGTTCAAGCCCTAGTTTGTGTTCAAGATTGACGCCGTGATGAATATAACATCTCTTCAAATTTTGATCGTGATTCTAGCTCGGATGATGATGAGGTCGTTGATGATGATGATGAGGTTGATGATAGTTTCCTATACTAGATAATTGTTTTGATTTTTCTACTCTTATTATTAGAATCTTGCTGTGTTTCTTGGTATAAATTTTATTGCTTTTGGTAATTATGTTTGCAATTCTGCTTAATGATTATAAAAGACTCTGATCCTATTGCCTTGATGTTAAGTGACTCAGAGTTTTGAAATATATCTTGGTCTGATATTGTCTTCTGATGTGCCATGTGATCAGGGGCTGAATTATCTCATAATTTAAACTTCAAAGATGGCTGACTTATCTCAAAATCAGGGGCTCTGAGCCTACATGCATTTTCTGCTGTTTAATTACATAATTTTCATCTTCTAAGTGTTACAAATTAATTCCTGCTATTTATAAAATTGGTAAACACATTTGTTCAGACTGAAGTTTCAGTATAATTACAGTGAATTTCTTATTTTGGTTAGTGTCAATTCTTATCAAAGCACGATTATGACTTCCACTGTTAGATTATTGGGGTTGTTTTTGTAGTTAATGTGCTGTAAAATGACTTCCACTGTTAGATTTGTCAGACATTTTTTCTTCCTGTTTTTTGGTGGAAAATTATGGTTTAAAATGTTGTTAAATTTTGAATAATTTAATTTGGCTTTGTTTCGTTCAGATATTGAATTGATGAAAGAAAGGTTTGCAAAGTTGTTGTTGGGTGAAGATATGTCAGGTGGTGGCAAATGTTTTTCATCAGCTTTAGATTTTGTTACATATGACTTCCACATGTTATTTCAATGACGAGTTGGAGCACTCACAACTTTACAAGACTTGGAAAGATATGTGGAGCAGCTAGCAGACTTGGAACAATTATAATATATGCAGAGCAGGTTCGAGTTTCATAAGTTTAAGTGTCTAATTTGTGTCAAGAACATTGCTTAGTTACTTGATTGTAACAAATTAGTGTCAAAAACATTGCTCAGTTCTCTACTTTTAACTTGTTGGCTAAAGCCCTTTATAATTCTCTTATATTGTGTTTACTACATGGTTGTTGTAGTTTGTTTATATATTTTGAATGGGCTGGGTTGGACCGGGCTGGGTTGGACCGGGCTTAATGACCTATGGACAAGCTCGGCCCATTTTGAATTAGGCTTGATTCGGTCCGGCTCGACCCATTTCATATATAGCCCGGCATATCCCGTTGAACAGGTCTAGACACCACCACTTGCTCTTGCAATTTTTTTTTTTAAGTGGAGTGTCCTGATTGGAGTATTATTGTTGTACAAAGTTGACCATAGTCAAGCTTTAGCTAATATTTCGACTTTTATCTAATGATGATGTTAACCTTTTGTTTTTTGGTTGTTAAAGTTAAGTCTTGTTAATTAAAGGCTAAATCCTAGATGAACATTATATAAAGATTCAGTCATAATTAGATGTTGTACATACCTTGAGAAAGAGAGGAAGATCACACCAGGCAAAAGTCACGCGAAATCGATGGCGGAAGAGAGCTCAGTAAAGCTACATGGAATGTGGGCAAGTCCTTTTGCTTTGAGAGCCAAGCTTGCCCTTAAAATTAAGGGAGTAGAGTATGAGTATATAGAGGAAGATTTACAAAACAAAAGTGAGTTGCTCTTACAGTATAACCCCGTGCATAAGAAAGTCCCTGTTCTTGTGCACAATGGTCTACCCGTTACGGAGTCAATGATCATCATCGAATATATTGATGAGGCTTGGGATGAACCTCCTTATCTCCTTCCTAAGGATCCTTACCTAAGGTCCAAACATCGATTTTGGGCCACGTATTTACAACAGGTTAGCACATCACTCTTTGATCTTTACTTAAACGTTGTTGTGTTATAGTATTAATAAAAACAATTTGTAACTCTCTAGTTTCATACACAATATCAACGAACATATATGCTATATATCAAACTTTAATTTATATGATCAATTTTACTTATAGTTAAGGTTTGGGCTAAATTTGTTGATACATGAAAATTAGATCACTTGCTTGTAAGTCTAGGAGGTTCGATTGATCGATCCTAGAACTAATTGCTGATAGGAGTAATTCACCAAGTTAATAAAGTGAATTTGACTCAATCTCTCCAATTCTTCAACGTGAGAGACCACATAATTTTTTTTTTCTTTTTTTTTTAGTTAATTCATGTCATATCCTTAATTACGAGAAGTTGTCACAAGGTGACAACATAAGGTAACTAAAAGTCACAGTACATGATGAAAATTGCAGGTAGCGGAGATATTGGGTAAAGCACTGATAACAGAAGGTAAACCATCAGATGAAATGACGAATGAGTACCGGAACAAGATGGACATGGCTGAAGAATTAATCAAGGCTGAATTATTCCCTAATGGCTGTCCATCTTTCGAGGATGCGAAACCCGGATACTTGGACATAGTGTTGTATTCCCTGTTAGGAAGCTCTGATGTTGCGGAAGAGTTCTTTGGATTTAGGCCTTTCAATGCAGAAAGGTACCCGTTCTTGGCATCTTGGATAAAGGCACTGAAAGAGGTTCCTGATGTTAAAGAGGTAACGCCTCCAAAGGTTAAGGTCATTGAGCTTCTTCATGCCATGCGACGGAGTTACCTCCAAACAAAGGCGTAATTGATTTAAAACTATTGTGAAGGAATTAATTAAGTACATGAGCTTGTAAAATAAATTACGTGTCCTTAATTTTAGTACTGTAATCAACAATTGAATGTTTGTAATAAAGTTTACTAGACTCTTGATTAACTAATGAAGTGGTGAGTACTGAATATTACATGTAGAGTACCTCACATGTAATGTTATTTGAGGTGCATTTTTTACTTTACTATATTTTTGTTGGACTTAACTTATTTGTATTTAGCATAAATCAATTTTACAAGAACTCAACTTATTTTTTAAGGTCCGAAGAACATGACCTAAGTAAGTAGCTAGTATGTATGAAAATAAAATTAAAGTGATAGAGTTGAACGTAGGCTAGAGTTCTATTCTACCCAATTTATTTTAGACAACATAATAAAATTAGACACATTATATTAGCGAGACAAAATAAATATAGTCCCTAGTCACAATCCACAAAGTATACGTCAATGATAGAGTTGAATGTGATATTTTATGGGATTATGGGTAATACCGTAATAGCCTAATAGGGATGAGAGATGTCAAGATGTCATTAATGAGCTCATGCATAATCTGGTTGAAAGTTCAAAATAAACAAGTTCAAAATTTGTAGAAATGTAGAGGTACTTTATTATAAGAAAAAAGTGAAAATATAGATGAATTAAGGAAAAATAATTATGTTAAATAAAAATAAAAATTACTACATTTTTTTTTTAAGTTTCCTATTTGGATGTGCGCGGAATTTTAGGTAAAAGAGTAAAATAATACGGAGTACGGAGTATATAAATGGGTATAGCTAGGAATAAAAAATTTGAAAAAGTAAGAGAAAAAAATATAAATGAGGACCACTGTACTAGGTATAATATAAGAGTGAGAAATATTATAAAATGATGTTGGAGTCAAAAAGAAGAGAAAGAAATATGTAGTAATATATATAATGTGAGTAGGGTTTCTAAGTTTGATAATAGTACACTTTAAAATAACGGTCATTTTTGAAAAGTGGAGCACTTTAAAAAAAAAAAAAGAAAAAGGCGGAGCGAGTACCTCTGTTTTGCTAAATGTTAATTAGTTACTATAGCTATGCAAACCAAGAAAAAGTAAAAATAAGAATCATATATGTGATTAGTGTTGTAAATGATAAAAAAATGAATAAAAAAAGTGTCATAAAAAGAATAAAATAAAAGTGAGTAGAACTTAAAAGATGAAAAAGAAAAGAGAGTAAGAGTTAGGAAAATGTAGGTATTATTGGAAACAGACTCAAATTTTTGACATTTGTAAAAGAACACCGGCAACTTGTATGGCTGATATGGATCACATTAAATATTTTTTTGTTTTTTTTTTTGAAAGAAAGATACATTGATTATAAGTGGATCACATTAAATAATATCGGACTCATCGGAGTATAATAATGCGCTACACAAAGTTGACTACGTTAATTATAAGCGGAAGTGAAGTTTACTACTGAGTATATATACTTCACTTTAAAGTGATAGAGAACAGCGCATACAATATTATTCGGCAAGATAGGCATGGGGGAAGAGAGCACAGTAAAATTACATGGAACGTGGGCAAGTCCTTGTGTTTTGAAAGCCAAACTTGCCCTTAATATTAAGGGCATAGAGTTTGAGTACATAGAGGAAGATTTACAAAACAAAAGTGAGTTGCTGTTGCAGTATAACCCTGTGCACAAGAGAGTGCCTGTTCTTGTGCACAATGGGCTACCCATTGCGGAATCAACAATCATCCTCGAGTATATTGATGAGACTTGGGTTCATCCCCCGCATTACCTCCCTAAGGATCCCTACCTTAGGGCTAAACATCGCTTTTGGGCCGCAATCATACACCAGGTTAGCCCCTTCCGCTACGATCTTTTGTTAGTTTTGCTTGTTTTTACTACTTAATGGTACGTTCATGAATAATATACTGCTCTTTCTGTTTCAGAATATATCCTTAAAATTAATTGGTTGATTATATGTTTGTTCGGCCAATATACAAGTAATTTAATATATACTTGAAATTAATTAATTGATTATATGTTTGCCAGGCCAATATACAAGTAATATATACTTGAATTAATTGTGATTGATTATATGTTTGCCAGGCCAATATACAAGTTCAACTACTTGCATAAGCATATGCAAAATTAAGTAGTCTAATAAAATGTTATGAAATTAGATGTGTAATGAATTGAGACTTATCCAACAATGCTCTGTATTAAGGAGGTAACATGTACGGAGTACTACACATAATTTAAGAATGTTAAAAAAACTCACATTCTAAAAAATTGTAACAGGCATATAATTGAAAAAACGCGACACTTGTTATTGATAGATTGACTGACTAATTAATTCTGGACAAAGAAAGTGTCAGCTAGATAACTGATGATTACCGTCGACAACCTAAGCACGGTTTCATTGATTTGGGCAGGCAACAGAGATATTGGGTAAAGGGTTAATAACAAAAGTACAGGGTAAACCAACAGAGGACACAATGAACGAGTACTGGAAGAAGTTGGATACTGCTGAAGAATTTATCAAGGCCGAGTTATATCCATATGGCTGTCCATCTTTCCAAGATGTGAAACCTGGATACTTGGATATAGTGTTGTATTCCCACTTAGGAACTCTTGACGTTGTCGAAGAGTTCCTTGACTATAAGCAGTTCACTCCTGAAAGGTACCCGCTTTTGGTGAGTTGGACCAAGGCATTGAGTGAAGTTCCTGAAATTAAGGACGCGACACCATCAAAACCTGAGCTCATTGAGCTTCTTCATGTTATGCGGCAGAAGAACCTCCCACCAAAGGCTTAGAGGTGATTACACTGTATTTTCCGACTGTTTAACATGGCTGTTGAAAGCAAGTCATTGGTAATCCTGTGTTTTCTTGTAATGCTCATTTGCAATATTGATTAAATGTATCCCCTTAAGTAATGTTGTAGTTTGTATGTTATCATTTCAATGATTGAGCCTACATACATAGAAATTTCTATAGTTTTATTTAGAGCGGTCAGTTTCTGACCCGAATCGTTAAACCCGACTATTTCAAACCAATTCGAAAAGGAATTAAACCATTAAAAACTCGTTTTTTGGAAACCGAAAACCGACCCGACCAATTTTTTCTAACCTGAAACTGAACTGAACCGAATTTGTGCGAACCGTTACTAACCCGACTCGTTATCAAGCCAAACCGTTACAACCCGAAACCGAAAACAACCCGAACCGATTACGTCTGAACCCGATAATAACCCGACCCATTTTAAACCGAAAACCGTTTAAACCCGACAAAAATCCGATAAACCTGAACTAGTCCAACCCGTAACTCGTTGTGACCGAACTGTTTCCAACCCGTAACCAATTGACACCGAACTGTTTATGACCCGTAACCCGTTGAGACCTAACCGTTTACGATCGGTAACCCGTTATGACTGAGTCGTTTACAACCCGTAACCCAATATGTTTATGATTTGATCCATTTCAACCCACTACTCGATAAACCTAACTTATTTATGACTTAACTTGATTATAACATGACTCGTCCCTACCCATTATCTGACTAACTTGACTCGATAATGATCCGACTCGATTTTAACCCAATATGATTTGGACTAAAACTGGGTAAACCCATTTTCAAACCGACCAAGTTCAATCCAAACTGATTATGACCTGAACTGATAATGACCGGACCCTCGATTTCACTCAATCTGTCTTTGAATCGAAACCCATTTTCAAAGCGAACCAGTTTAACCCAAACTGATTATGACCCAAATCGATTACAACCCGACATGATTAGAACCCAAACTGTTTTGAACCGAAACCCACTTTAAACCGACTAAACCCGTTTTCAAGCTGACCCGATTCAACCCAAACTGATTATGACCTGAACCAACTATAACCTGACCTGATTAGGACCCGACCCGAATAGAATCTGCAATAAAAAAAAAACCCCGAAGCGAACTGACCCGATGATTTTCAAAACCGAGCCAAACCGACCCGCTAATCATTTCAACCCGTTATAAACCGACCCGTTATAACCCAAAACTGATAAACCCAACCCAAATCCAAACTGTTTACCCGAATTAACACACCTAATACTATTCCCTCAAAATTAAAGGTTGAAAACGGATCATTTAGATTGGGCCTAATTGAGTCTGACATTCTTTTAGTTAAGATATTTGTCACTATGGTGCATCAAGTCAAGTGATATGAGTCTGATCAAATTTTGTATTATATGAATAACATATCACACGTCAAAAATTAAAACCTCTAGGTTTTTGAGTTCAAAGTTGAATTGGGCCTATGTACTTTGAAATTTGGAGTGTTAATATCCCAAAAATTCAATAAAGTTAGCCCATAATTAAATGAACTACTAATCTACTCCTAAAACCCAATTTAATAATCCGTTGTCGTCCAGCAGTTAGGATATCTGGCTTTCACCCAGGAGACCCGGGTTCAATTCCCGGCAACAGAATTACTTTTTCTCATACAATAAAAGATAATAAAAATCTAAGTAACATTTAGGCCCTGTAATAAGGTGAAGTGAACAGGGTCTCGCTAAGCTACTTGTTAGCCATCTAGCATTCTAGCTAGTTCATGGGTAGGTGAAGTAAACAAGGCCTCACTAGACTACTTGTTAGCCATCTAGCATTCTAGCTAGTCCATGGGTCCTTGGGAAGAAGCCTTGTAATACTGGCATGTGTAGGGGTTGGCCAGACCGGCCTTGTCAACATATTCGACTAACTCGAAAATGGTCAGAGATTCAGCAAGGTTTGGCCGCTTGGCTCTATGGCCTTAATTTTGAGGGCGTACTGCATGAACATTTATTAATTATAAGGATACATTTTATTCAAGGATATAGATGGATATTAATATTTATAACAACCAGTGACAACCTAATTAAGCTTTTAGTACTATGCCGGAAAATGTTTCTGATGCATAGCTTTAAGAAATTCAAGAAGCTTAGTCTTGGATGGTCTTACTTCTTTCACTTCAAAATTTTCATCAATCGCCTCGACCCATGAGAACAATAGGGGGTACCTTTGAGCAGTCATAAGCTCAGTGTTGAAGAATTCTTCCAATACTTTAGATGTTCCAAGTATGGAATATATCATTATATCTAAGTAGTCAGGTTTCACATCTTTGAAAGATGGTAAACCATTTTGGAACACCTCAATGATTCTTGTTCAACCACATCTAGCTTCTTTAGCAGCTCCTTTTTGACATCTTCATGTGCTTCACCTTCTGTCAACAATGTTTTCTGCATCGTCTGAAAGACCTGTGGCGCGCCAACATTGTATCACACGTACACGGTACACATTCTTAGAAATGTAAATTGAGATTTATATGTACAATGGACTCAATCCTAGGGTTCAGGGTATTAAATACTTTCTTTGTTCTAATAATATTGTAACAATTAGACTTTTGCACTATTCATTACTCTTGTTTGACCAGAAAATGTGATTCCTACGTTAAGTAAAATATGGTTATGTGGAATCTTGTTAGATTCGTCTCATAAAATACCTTTCACAATAGCAGCTTTTTATAATTTTTACTCTTATATAATTATAGAAATTTAACATATAAAATATGCTTTAGGATATGTAATTTCATCCTTGTTGCATTATTATTGGAACGCAGGAAGTATACTTTTAGTCATTGTGTTAGCCTCTAAGGAGGAATTTTAAGTTTATAACATCCTATATTATGACTACATCTTTGTAAAAGAAAACATTCTTTTCACTTGAATTTAAGTAAGTGATTTGATCTTATTAAACCTTATTTGATTGGATATTATGATTTAACGAAAAAATGACTATAATTTTACACTATTATAGAAGAAAATCTATCAATTAAACTAGATCTTATTAAATTTGCCACAATGTTAGTTTTCAAAATTCTAATTTTCACATGATTGTTTTGATAGATATGTAAGAGTGATGCACAATTTTTGAAGAAGGAGAAACTGAGAGAGATAATACACTACCAATAGGCCTAATAACGACAATATATTAATGATACACTAAAAGAAGCCCATCATATATATAAGACTTTTCATGACATGACAAGGGAAGAGATCGAAAGAGTTATGAACAAAATAGAGTTATATTGCTATATTAATTGCACGTCTGCACAAGGAAAATATTGTGATTATTCAATGAACAACGAAAGTACATTAGTAACGCCGTATGAAACAAAAAATAGCAAGATAGGGAGAAGTTTTCTTACCAATTGGAAGTAGGTGGCCCAAAAGCGATATTTGGCCCGTAAAAAAGGATCCTTAGGCAAGAGATGTGGGGGATCAGCCCAAGTCTCATCAATGTATTCAAGGATGATTATGGACTCCGCAATTGGTAGCCCATTATGCACAAGTACAGGCACTTTTTTATAGGCAGGATTGTATTGCAATAGTAGCTCACTTTTATTTCCTAAATCCTCTTCTTTGTATTCAAATTCTATGCCCTTAACTTCAAGGGCATATTTCACCCAAAGTGCATAAGGGCTTGCCCACATTCCGTGTAGCTGCACCGATCTCTCTTCCCCCATGGCCTCGCTGCCTGGACCAGAGACGAGGGCAGCGTTCGGATGAAGGGCGATGTACTCTTGGGTTGGGAAATGTAAGATTGGGTAAAACTTATAGGAAAGACTAGACTTATATAATGCTTTAGCCTTGTCAATGTCCTTACATTGCAAGACTTTGAATTACATATATATAAATAAAGTCAGTCTCTTAACACCTAGATTAATTACAATTTGGAATTAGTTAAGTTATTTTATTACACAAGAAACCTTCTCTAGAAATGTCTAATGAAGCTGATAATATAATGTCGTAGACTGGTAGAAAAAGTATGTTATGATCAAGAAACTGACATCAAATTTACTTCTTTTTCAAGATGATCAGATAAAAAAAATAGAGGTTTAAACTTATTTTTCTTTAAATTTTGCACAGAAATTAATTAGTTATCAACAAGGGAGTAGGATAAGACGATGTTAAATACACTTATTTAAGGTGAGTTTTTGACTTAAGAATAGCTTGTAAGACTTACCAAATGCAGATTGTGACAACCTTTTCACTATTTTAACAATGCAATTTGAGTATAATATATACGACGTGAATTGAAATCAAATTAATGTACTGTATATAAAGTAAATTGTAGAAGAAATGATACTTTAATTGACTGATAAACATATATATAGGGATTGTACATTTGTAAGTATTTTGACAATTTTACCTATATTAGGGTGATTAACATGTGCGATGCGCGCATTATAGTTAGCCTTATTTGGGGAGCTCTTTTAGTTTGGTCTTATGAATTATATCACAACTTTGTTGTTGGTAATATTAATGAGAAAAAATATGTATGTAATAAACAAATATTTTAGGGTATAAATGTTTGTATACTATTGCTAATAGTTAAAAAAAAAACAATTAACATTTATGAGGGCAAATAAGTAAATAAATATTTCAAGGGACATAATTGTCTAAACACTATTCATAAAAATAGAACAAGTATATTTAAAGGTAAATATGTAAATATACCTTTAAAGGACACAATTGTCTCAACACTATTCATAAACATTAAACATGTATAATTAAGGGTAAATATGTAAATAAACATTTTAAGAGGTATAATAATCACAACACTATTCATAAGAGCTTAGTCATACTTTTTTTTTTAAAAAAAAAGGTAGGGATGTTATTAACTACCATATGTAATAATTTAGAATGAGATAAACTCTTACCATACATACAATTGTTTTGATGTTTGGTTCAGGAATTCTAAGTATGAGGTATGAATTCAAGTGATCTAAATCCATGTCAATTACACATAGAGTATACATCATACAATAACTAAGTCAAATTTATTAAAAAGCACTTGAAGGTAGCAAAAACTATTGCACAATCACGAAGAATACAATACAGTACAGAAAATCAAGATCCGTAGCATACTAAAGCTCCATTTACACCTTTGGTGTTACAAAATTCTCTCTAAAATACTGATAAAACTCCAAAAGCTTAGCCTTTGATGGAGTGACTTCTAGGAATTCAGGAACTTGTTTCAATGCCTTAATCGACGAGATCAACAGCGGGTACCTCTCCGGTGTTAAAAACTTGACACCGAAGATTTCACTTGCAACTTCGTGGGTTCCGAAACGCGAATAGAACACTATATCTAAGTATCCAGGCTTCACATCATGCGAGTATGATGGAACAACACCATTTGGGAATATCTTTTTCATTCCTTCTTCGACCACATTCAATTTTTGTAGCAACTCATTCAGCGCTCTTTGTTGAGTTTCACCTTCTGTTATAAGCGCCGTGCGCATCACGTCGAATACCTACTCGTATCACATAGTTACTATATAAGTACTAATTATCAATTCGTTAATAAATATAGATAACTATTGTAAACGAGTTAGTTTTGTAAGTAGAAAGAACAATTTCAATAGCTTTGTATGTAAGTAAAAGAGCAATTTCAATCCTAATAATAATTTAATTTCTAATCATATTGTAACACTTGGGTGAAATAACCATATTATAAAGAGTTTAAGTGTATATCTACGAACATGAGTAATGGATACTCAAACTGACTTTGTGAGATCAATTGACCCCATTATAATTTAAAAATCACTAAACCAAATCCAACGAACAAAGGGTAAGTGCTTACCGGCTGAAAATAGGCAGCCCAAAAACGGAGTTTGGCCCTGTCGTAAGGATCCTTAGGGAGGAGATGCGGAGGATCAGTCCAAGTCTAATCAATATACTCGAGGATGATCGTTGATTCCGCAATGGGTAGACCATTGTGCACAAGAACAGGCATTTTCTTATGCACAGGGTTATTATTAAGATAGATTTAGGATTATTTGGATAATATTAGGATTTATCTTTTCCTAGTTTATCTAGGTTTTCCTAGAGTTTGATATAGGATAGGAACTCTAGTTGATTGTATTATAAATACTTTGATTATGTGCTAATGAAAGGTAAGCCAAAGTTTATTGGTAGTTCACATTTCTACAGTTATATTGTAAGAGCAACTCACTTTTGTTTTGTAGATCTTCCTCAATGTACTCGTACTTTACGCCCTTAAATTTAAGAGCAATTTTGACTCTCATAACAAAAGGACTTCCCACATTCCATGTAGCTTCACTGAGTTTTTTTCTGCCATGCTTATGTATCACCTTTGCCCGGTTTTTCCCTCTTTCTCAATGTGTAATGTCTTATTAATAATGACTACAATCTTCATATGATGACTAATATCCCATTTTTATTTATGTTATAACATTATTTACGTAATGCTCAGTCTTGGCTTTAGCCCTCATTTAAGTCATTTTACAAGACTTTAGACTCTTTAATAAAAATAAAATAAAATATTGGGCAATTTGTGACTTAAGCACATACGACATAATCATGTATCAAATAACACGAAGCCGTCTTGATTTGATTGATTTATGTCATAAAATTTGGGATATATAGTTTATTTGTCTCACTTTAGTTGTCACAGTTAACTATTCAATTTTTTTTTTTTTTTGAAATCTATTAACTACCCCCTCAATATATACTAGCATACATTTATTTCTTTTACTATTATTTATACTGAATTGACTTTTACAATGTTCATTTAACTTACTCTAACCGTATGTCCTATTAAATAATGAAACGTAATGCTTGTTTAATATTACTTCCTATCGAATTTGTCATATATAGTGAATATTTCAAATCATCACATTTCAATAATTTTTATTATTACCTATTCAAATATATCAGTGGTCAAAGTTATAATTGTAACGTAGTACATCATATAAGACAATATAACAATCTTCGAAAAAAAAGGGGAAGGTTTACATACTCTCCTATGTTTTTGTCATTACGAAGCAACCCTACATGTACTCCGTTAAACGGAAGAGCAAACTTGAGAATTTCAAACTTTGCATGTTTCACCATTTTTTTTTCACCGAAATTATATTACTCCGTATTAACTAGATTTGTTAATCTTTTCAGTTCTTTTCTTAAATAAGATTGACAAGCTAGATTTGTAATAATCTGGTCGTTGAAGTGTAATCTTTCCAAGCAATACAAGTGAATATCTCAAATTGATAAAAGAGGAGAGTGTCAAAAATTTTATAAGCATAAAGGGCAACTCCTATCCTTTTATTGTCATATGACTTTGGGATGTAAACCTTTTGGATTTGTAAAGTAAACTCTCTCAACTTGATGACAGCTTGACAAGTGCGGCTTAGACCCTTTTTTAGCAATATCCCTTAGATCTCATGAGATTAAAACCTTAAAATCGATTTTCAACCAAATGAATTATATTTTGAGGTTGTTGATATGTTTTAGTATAATCAATTTTAAACCAAATTAATTACATTATAAGGTTGTTGATCTCAATTAGTGGGCATAATTAGGGGTGAGCATAACAGGGTACCCTTTAAATTTCTTGGAACCGGAACCTGTTGTAACAGGTTCCTAAAACTGAGAACCGGAACCTGTTGAACAGGTTCCTAAAACTGAAAACCGGAACTGGAACCTGTTGAACAGGTTCCTAAAAATTGGGGACCGAAACCGGAACCTGCAGGTTTCGGTTCCGATTCAAGGTACCTTGTCTTTTTCTATTTCGTACTTTTTTGCAATTTTTCTTAAAAAAATTGTAGGGTCATAAATTTACAGTTTGCAAATATAACAAACCAAAAATAGTTGTTTACTAAATTTAATACATATAGTTATAACAATTATTTTTATTTATATTAAGTAAAAATTGGGCTTAAATTGATATATGATTTGGGCTTAAGTAACACTTTTATTAGGTTACAGGGTACCCTACAGGTTTCGGTTCCAAAAAATTGAGAACCTCAACCGCAACCTGTTGCAATAGGTTCTCTATTTTACTACCCGGAACCAGAACCTCTTCTGAAACCTCTTGTACAGGTTCCGGTTCTGAAACCTACAATTCCTTATAGGTTTCGGTTCCGATTCAGGATACCCTGAATTTTTGCTCATAGGCATAATGGCATTCCTACAACATTATATTATGAGGTAGTTAATCTCAATTAGTGGGCATAGTGGCATGCCTAAATTATTAGATCTAAATTAAAACACCTTGCCTAGTAATCCTTTCACTGTAAATCGCACGTTAAAAAGTTGAAACAATCATTAAGGTGTAGATATATATATCTAAAATTGGTTTTAATTTTAAATACAACTTATTATATTCCAATCAGAAAAGAACATACCTCATTGATAACAATAACAGTTTTACAATCAAAAGATTCAAGAAAATTACATTACAATCCGGAAAATCAAGATTTATACAAAACTAAAGTTCCATTTGTTACGCCTTTGGTGGTACAAACTTCTGTCGATAGTACTGATAAAACCCCATAATCTTAGCCTTTGGTGGTGTGACTTCTAGGACTTCAGGAACTTTTTTCAATGCCTCAATCCATGACACCAGTAGTGGATACCTCTCCGGTGTTAAAAACCTAACACCGAAGAATTCAGTAGCAACTTCATGGGTTCCGAAAAGCGAGTAGAACACTATATCTAAGTATCCAGGCTTAACATCTTGTGAGTATGATGGAACCCCATTTGGGAATATATCCTTCATTCCTTCCTCGGCCACATCCAATTTTTGTAGCAACTCATTTAGCGTGCTTTGTTGTGTTTCACCTTCCGTTATAAGGGACTTGCGCATCAGGTCGAAGACCTGCTCGTATTATACACATATAGTTATGTATTGATACTATACTAGTCATCAATTCGGTGATAATAATGATAACAATCTTATTCTAGTTTTTGTAGTTAAAATAATTTCAATCTTGGATTTTATGAGGCCAATAAACCCCACTTAAAATTAATTTTTTTTTTTTTTTTTTTTTTTTTTTTTTTTACAGACATTGAAATTTTTCTAAATTTCTTACAAAAATCATTTACTACGTATATTTTTACTCGTTATTGTTTTTCTAAATAAAGGATACTTACTGGTGGGAAATAGGCCGCCCAAAAGCGGAGTTTGGCCCTTTCGTAGGGATCCTTAGGGAGGAGATGTGGTGGATCGGTCCAAGTCTCATCAATGTATTCGAGGATGATCGTTGACTCCGCAACAGGTAGACCATTGTGCACAAGAACAGGCACTTTCTTATGCACAGGGTTATATTGCAACAACAATTTACTCTTATTTTTTAGATCTTCCTCTATGTACTCATACTCTATGCCTTTAAGTTTAAGGGCGAGGTTCGCCCTCATAGCAAAAGGACTCGCCCACATTCCATGTAGCTTCACTGAGCTCTTTTCTGCCATCGATTTCGCGTCACCTTTGCCTTTTCTTCCTCTCTTTCTCAATGTATAACATCTAATAACGACTACATCAATATATACTAGAATATAATGTTCAATCTTGGCTTTAGCATTTAATTAATGAGACTTAAGACTTTATTTTAAATAACATTCCTGTTAGAGCTATTAATTAATTTAGTTATTGTAATAGAGTTGGTGATCGGTGGTATAAGCTCACGACCTAATCAAATATCTAAAAGTAAGTGATTAATTGAGAGCCTCATTTTTAATTGGAATCAAATAACAAGTTGAGCCGATCTCCAATTGTGGCACTTTAGTTTTGGCGTTTTGCGTGCACAATTATGTCTTCCATTTTTCTTATTTACATTAAATCATATACATTAATATAACATACGTTTCTACTAAATTTACGAGTATCTAATAATAATGAGAAAAACATTTTGAAACGAATGGAGTATGTTTTAACAAACAAGTGAAAATGACCTAAAGCTGATCTGTTCAAACAAATTGTTTGTTAATAAGGGAATGATGTGTATTGCTGTTTCAATATACGAAGCAACCATTTAATTTGTTTAAGAAAATAATATAAAGAAGAGAACTGAGAAGTTCAAACTTTGCATGTTGGATATCCTCCATAAATCAGAATATCCAATATTTTTGTAAACATTATACTTTATTTGCAAGATTTGGTAATCATTTAAGCTCTTTTCTTAAAGATTGGTTAGCTTGATTTGCAATAACTGGTCGTTGATAACCTTAGATCTCTTGAGATCAATACATCATTATCAATTTTTAACCAAATTAAAAATATTACGAGGTCATTGCTTTAGATCTCAATTAGTGGCATCCCTACATGGCTACATGTTATGGAGTAATATGATCTAAAAAAACTTGCATATAGTTAACAAAAAATATAAGATAGTTATTACTAAGTTTTGGACCAATTTTATTATCTTTTCTTACCATACATATAAACACAAGGTAAACCGGGGCATATATTTCATAACTCGCCAACTTTTATTATTGAAGTAAATAGTTTGAAACTATTGAATAACTCATTTAATATTCTACACACAACTTGCTCCATTTTTTTTAAAGTCATGGTTCATTAATATTGACTATAAATTTCTATTGTTATATGTAGTGTTTCGGGTGAAAACAATGGGACCTTGCCGAAGGTCCGCTGAAACGGAGAAGACTGGATTCGGTCCAAGTTATGTTGGGCCGAAGGTTTCCTGCACAGTAAACACACGTAAACTAGCCTCGGGGGTGTTGCCGAAGAAGGCCCCTCCGATGCTAAAGTCAGTACAATGTGTAGAAAGAGAACATTATGCAAGAGAATTAGTTGCTTGAGGCTTTGCTTGAATATATGAGAATGTATGGGAATCTATGAGAATATGTGAATCTGTGAATCAATATCTGAATGTATGAATATTGATGGCTTTTATACCTCTTCATACATGGAGAGGTTGGGCCTTAGCCCAATTGGCTTGCTTTGAGGGCTGACCTTTGACTTTAGCACAATTGGAGAGTTGAACCTTGACCTTGGGCTTTTAATTGAATCATTTAATGCCCAGGCCCAATTGGACTAAATTGGACCCAAACAACTTGCCCCCCAGACCCGATTTGGAAGGATGACGGGTCGGGTTTGATTTAATTCAGAAAAGGAGGGAAGTAAATGATTTAATTAATCCAAAAATTTGAATTTAAACCGTAATTAATGAGATAACAACGGTTAAGGCGGATGATGGTGGAAGTTGGACGGATAATGGGCAGTTTAATCGCAAGATCGTGTGTTTAACGGTTACTTAGTGGGGTATTTAAGAGAAATTGAAACGCGGACTCCCCGTATCCCATTCCTGGAGATATAAACAGAGGCGCGTCATCTCTCCTCACTTATTCACCAACACAAACCCAGAATTCTCGAGAGAAACCAAGAACCCGCATCAAAACTTCGCAAATTCCCCGAGCATTAAGCTTAGAAACTGAGACTTGCCACTACGAACTCGTAAATCGGCAACTTTCGCTTCAGATTAAGGTAAATTCCTTTGATTTCAGTTTATTTTTCTTCGAATTCGAACTCCTTCCCTTTTTTTTTCGACTTTTTTCTTCGAAATAATCAATGGCAAGAGGAGTTAGAGGTAGAGCCCGTGCTCCAAGAAGAGCAAGGCCAATTCCCGATCCTAGGAACAGGATTGGGACCTGGAATGGACAAAGGCCAGAGTCTGACCCTGCTGAAGGGATTAGGGCGACTCCAATTTCCTCGGCTCCTCCTCAGAGAACGGAGGGGCCGAGCGCTTCTGGACGGGACGATGAAGTTCCCGCTGTCCTTTAGGATATCCTCCCCGGGTTTTCAGAGTGGGAGAATGCCGAAGTAGCTTCGGCCATGATAAAGAACCGCCCCTACTCATGGTGGGTGGAGAATGCCGAACAATATCGGTTTGCCGAGCAAATTGAGTTGCATTACGGCATTTTTGAAGCTGATGGGTATTGGTGCCGAATGCCCGCGGCATCCGATAGAATCCATCGTCCACCCCCGGGGTATGTGAGGGTGTACACAAGACAGCTTCAGTACGGGCTGAGGTTCCCTTTGGACGTATTCGTCCGAGACTTGCTGATCCATTACAATATCTCCCTATGTCAGTTAACTCCCACCAGCATCCGAAGGGTGATGACATACTTATGGGTCTGCAAGTTCTTCAAGTATGTGCCGAACCTGCACTGCTTCAAAAAGCTTCATCGGCTAGTGCCAAATATTCAAAGTGGGCACGGAAGCCATGGTTCTGGGTGGTACCGGATTGAGTCCCGACCCCAGTACCTAACCATGTGGCCAAACGACTCTTCAGACAAGGACTGGAGAGGTCAATGGATTTGGGTTAGGGCACCCACAGATCCGGGCCACCCTTGCGTCTTCAGCGCTCCCCGGTACCTTGTTGAGCCTGATCCCGACATGGGAAGTCTAGGTCCCCCCGCAGATAACGGGGCGGATCCGAACCTTGATCAACAACATATCTTCGGCAAGCTGCCGAACCGGGGGGGCAGCGGCCGAATGCAGCATATCCCGGAGACTTGGCTCCCCGATACGCATTATGTTTTCCAAGAGAACATGCTAGCAGCTGTTGGCCTCAGCCGAAAGTTTAAGGATGGTAAGCTTCTTCGGCTGGGGCCGAGGCTTTTTAATTATCTCTTTTTCTTCTCTCACTTTGCTTTTTTATGCTGTGCCAACCTATCTGAACTGACCTTTCCCCTTTTCTTTTTCAGAGCGGGACGAGACCAACGTTGGCATTAACTACGCTCGTCTTGGTGTCAACCGAGAACGAGTTGTAACTGATCGGGCCCCGTCTATCACTGAACCGAGGCATAGGGAAGTTCATCTAGACTCTTCCCACTTCCAAATTGAGGCTGTTGCTCTGTATCAGAGGCAGAAGCCTTGGTGGAAGAAGAGAGACCCCTGGTTTCAGCTGCTGGACGAAGAAGCTGAAGCTGCCCGTACAGCCGAAGAGGTTGCACGGTTTCTCGAAGCTTGCGAAGGAGGAGAAGGGTCCTCCAGAGCTGCTGAAGAAGAAGCTGCAGCTAGGGCAGCTGAAGAAGACGAGGCTTTGTTGAAGACCTCGGTGAGCTTTCAGACTTAACTTTGTCTTTCTTCTTTTTTCTTTTTTTTTTTTTTTTTTTTTTTTGTACTCACATTCTTCCTCCCCCCTGTCTGTTACAGTCTGAAGAGAGTAACAGACACAGAGAAGGGAAAGCCCCTGTTTGTCCCGAAGACCAAATACAAGAAGAGTCTTCAGACTCAGACATGGACGAGCAGCCTCTTCAGAAAAGGCGCCGAAGAATGGCCATCATCGGCCCTCACGACTTTCAGCGGAGGCCGATGACCATCGGCGTTGAAATAAGGGAACCCGAGGAAGGCAATGGATCGCCGAGGGTTCCCCGGCCACCACCCCAATCACCTCAAAAGACCCCTCCGCCACCTCCTGAGATGGAGGTGGATCAGAGAACTCCCGAATCTAAGGGAGGGGTCCAAGAAGAAATTCAGGAGAGTGCTGCTGAGCACAAAAATAAGGATGCCGTGATGCCCAGTGCTGAGGGTTTCACGGCAGACATTGCAAGAGAGGTTGAGGCTTTCGTCCTCACCCCTGAAGAAGAAGAGGTCATAGTAATTGGCTCTTCTGAGAAGGATGATGCTGAGCCATCCAAAGCTAAACAAGCTCCATCGTCATCCTTTCCCTCCTTCCAGACTCTGCAATATGGAGAAATGGGTTTCTCGGCCCCCCGAATTTCAATCCCAGATCACATCTGGGACCTCATATGGGGTCAGAACCGTGAAGGTGCTGCAGCCTACTTCGGCGATTTTGCTGGCATGTCCGAAGTAGATAGGGCAAGAATCTGGTCGCTGAAGGCCACTGCTGGGATGGGCGAATCCAGCAGATCAGTTCCTGACCCAGCCAGGTCTAACCAACTGCTGATGATGCAGGTGATTTTCCTTGCCTTTATTTCCTCTAAAATTCAGCTCTATTTTTATTTACTTTTATTTTTTAACACTTGTGCTCCTGTTTTCAGTTCGTGCACAATCAGACTCTCACTGTAGAGCTGATAGATACCCTACAAGATAGGGTAGATGCTGCCGAGCATGACAAGAAGGTAGCTGAGGAGGAATTAAAGCTTCCTAAGCTGAAGCAAGCAGCAGCTGAAGAGAAGCAGCATAAGGGTGAGGAGTACGAGAAAAAAGCTGCTGAAGCCCTCAAAACCTTCTGCGACGCTATGGAGAAAAAAATTTTTCCCCCACTGATGGAAGGGGAAAAATTCCTCCAGGAGCACATGGGAGTGGACGTCTCCAAATTCAAGGCTGTCGTTGAGAGCCGTATTCAGGAAGGAGCTGCTGCACAAGCTGAAGTGCAGCAACGACTAGAAGCTCCTTGAAGCCAGTCGAATGGCTGCTGAAGAGCTGCTCCAGGCCAGGGATGTCCAACTCTCAGAGGCTGCTGCTGCTGCTGAAGCTCAGAGAGCTAATCTCCATGAGGCTGAGGATCAACTGATGGCCAAAAAAGTAGAAGTGGCCCAGGCTCAGACAAAGGCTTCCCAAGTTCAGCAGGAGCTG